GTTAATTTCAAGGATCCTTCAATTTTGAGTCTCACACCAGTAAGACTTCGGCTTCAGCGCTATGACTGTCACCATAGTCGACGCCAGAATTCAACTGATTGTAGGAAATATTGAAGTAATCAGTGGAGATATATTTTCAATCGGCACCTCTCAATACATACGATGATTTGCGTCATAATCGAAGCGAACAGGAATGTTATCTCCAGATATCTTGCAACTGGGCACAGCAGTGGTGGTAAAACCCATTCGGGACTCCCCAACAAAACAGTGCTTGACCACTCGACTGTGGTTGTTATCAGATTCAACGCATCGGCAATTGCCTAAATGAGTCATACTCAATTCGAATCTAATGAAATAAAGTATGGCTATAACAACTGAATTACACATTCATGAAACTGAACTTTTGTTGTTAAGCGATGAGAATATCTAGAGCCAGCGCTATTCTGAGCATGCGCCTCTGATGTGTTGCCGCAAAACCAAAAGAAAAATTGAACGAAATTCGGAATTATATACCATTGATGTGGAACAACTGATTGAAGATACACAAAAGAGGTTTCGAGAGAAACCTTCAAACGACCGCTAATTTAACGACTACAAAGAATCAGCTTGATGGCTTGAGAACGTGTAATTTGAACGTTTTCTGATAGATTCATTTGTTTTTCTTATCTCGCACAAAAACACTCTGATTCACTCTAATTCTCTTATCACTGAATTTCATTGCAAATATTTACCTAGTTCAATGGCACAGAATTCAATGCGAAATGTAACGTGAACGTAATGTACGTAAACAACCGAAAATACTCACCAAATTGAACAATAAAATGTTCATCGCAGTTCGTCGCATTTTGCGATCACCGCCAATCGCAGCAATCACAACGATATTGCCCAGAAGGCCAACGATCGTGAGTGTGAGCAGAACAAAGCCGAAGAAGAGCGACCACTCCACCGAGACGAGTCGCTTCATCGCGTTTCTGAATCGATCAAACGTGATGATGCTACTGATCTCAGATCAACTTTCAGCGCATAAACGATTCAACAGTTCGAATCAGCGGCAACGACAACAATCTCTTAATCGCTCGTTTCAAGCTTGCACAGTTGAGTTCAGTTACTAACCGGAATAAACGCGAACTTAAGCCTTTTAAGATGTTCAGTAAAAATTAGTGGAAGAGCCTATTGCTGTTGTTGTCAACCCGAAACTGAGTCGAAACTTTAGAATCAAATATGAAAATGCGAATTGTTCATACGATAAGAGTTGAGTTCAGTGCAGGCCTGAATAGCGTTGAAACGTATTCCTCAAAACACATCGCATCTTACATTACACATAAACAATAAGCATTATTTTGGTGTTTACGTTAAGGAAGAATGTAATCGAATTTCGTTAACAGAATTATTCATATTCGTGATCGCACACTCGAATGCATACATCAGCAATCAAGAAATTATCAGTTCACTTCGAATGCAACATTAACGCAACACTATCGCTTATTGCTGAAAGTTCTGTTTTTTCCTCAACGTAAAATCGCACTCGTTTCTATGTGCGCAGTGCTGAATTGCGTCGAGTTCCTTATTTGCTTGGTGAAAAATATTTTCATCCAGTGATTTTCTCACGTACTGATCACAAGTAAAGTACGAATTGGCTCATATTTTGAGAAAACATTCGAAAATATTAGGTTGTCCAGTCTGCTTTTGCGGTTTGCGTAGAAGAATTTCAAAATGTTATAACTTCCTTCAAACT